CCGTCTTGATGCGTAGAATTTTCCGTGTCATTTACTCGCCATTATTATAACACGAGTTGTGTCAACGCAGACCACAATCAATAGCACCCGCGAATGGCATGCACTTTTAAACTATCCGCTCTTCGCAACGGAAGTATACGGTTAATTACAAAATTGATCCCATTTAAAACTCGTTAAGTTTAACATCCGTTTTAAATAACTTTCCAGTCTTATATTCGTGTCCATAAAGTCGTAGTGTAACAAAGATTCCATTCACACACTTTACGATTTACGTCACAGTGTATATTTCAATTTAGATGCTGAATATAAATAATAATCTAATAACCTTTCAATATCGAGTAGTGATTGTGGATGATCGTGAATAGTGTTGAATTGTGATGTCATGGTGAAAATGTCATCTGCTGTGTGGGATTATATGCCCACTCGTTGCCGTTGGATAGAGACGCTGCGACATTGCGGCAAGACGCTATTGCGGCGCCAACGGAGGTTACTAAGGAGAATTAAGAAGGTAATTAAATGTAAAAGAAAAACACTTAAGCGATTTGTAACGAAAATGTATATATCCGAGTCACTTAATCAAACCGTATAAGCAATTTCTTTTTAATATCATATAATCCCTTTTCATCAGTGCTTTACTTTGACAAAAAGTGTATAATGGAAATTCGACAACATTATTTTCTTCTTCCCACTGTTACAATTGAAGACGTTCTTCATATCTGTCATTCGCTGTACTGTTAAACTTATGTGTCTAAAATAGATTTCGATGCCAGGTTGGTTTTTTCTATTTTTTTATACTATTCTATTTAATAAGAAGTCTTACTTCTATCTATTGATGTTTTGTTTTTTATTTTTCTTTCTTAGAGTTATTTGCTCGTGCATTTAAGGTGTTGCTCTTTGCACCTAGTCTAGCGGGAAATTTGCTTTTTCCTCTCGTCGTTGGTTTTCTTTCTATTCTTATTACTATTACATAGTAACTATTTAGAATAATCTCTTTCTACATATACACATATTTGATTCATTTCAAAATATACCACTAGTTATTACAATTCCCTTCAATTTCTAGTCTTTATTTTGCACTGCTGTTCTTTTCACAACTTCCTTAGCATATTTCTTAAAAAAACTTTATTGTTTGTTTTTATGGCGTTATGGAGCTAGTTCTCTTGCGCCGGTAAGTGACGACACCATCGCTCGCTGTAGGCATTCACCTGTAGCCAGTCAGCCTACCGAAAAATGGCGGTCAATCCATTTCGAAGCGGTGGTAGGTCCTACAAAGGGCCACTGGCTCGCGACCACTCTCTCGCCGGAGTTCGGCGCCAAGCAGGTTACTGTGTTCCGTCGATGATCGACAGTGCCAGTGCCTTTTTCCTGCACTACTTTAGTTCAGTCTTGACTTATGAGCAAAACTGAACCGGATAACTCATTCTGGAGGGTAGCGGGATCCGAAGCACGGTCACAGGCGTTGGCCGACCGCAGGTAGTACGGGGCTCAAGTAGCGCACCAGCCATGCGCCAAAGGCTGCCTCGCCAACTCGCGAAAAATCCTGAAATGCTCCACCGAGCCGAATTGGCCGAGACCGCGGTCTCCAAATGAGTTCTCCATTGATTGGTCATTCTAAGTGACTGAGTGGAGCCTGAACCTTTCTCTGCTCACCGTCTTACTCTGCCGAAACATGAAGGTTAAAAAAAAGAAAAAGGTTTTATATCCCAGACCTATTAAAGGCAAGAGTGAATAGGTTCTTTCTGGACAAGCTTGCCCCACCGTAGATCTCATCTATGTCCTTAGGCTAGATTGAGTCAAGTCGAGAGTGAGCCCATTGTAAATATATAAAAAAAGTTAAGATTTGTTGTGTTTAGTTATGGGGTAGTTTATATTTTTTTATATCGTTAAAACCGTATCTTCTAACATATTCGTTAATTAGTTGAGTATAAAATCAACAGTTTAACTTATGTAACTGTTACCTACTTCATATTGACCGATGACATTCGACGTAGTGTGAAGGAAAACAAATACATATTTGAGATTATTAAAATTTATTCGACTTTTTCGTTGTATTGGGTGATGTTATTTAAATCACAATGACTCTGTGGAAATTGCGAAATTCGTATCAATCGTTACTCATCGATCGCTCGTGCAATACGAACATTGAAGATATTGTGAAACTTAACGAACTATTCGATCCTCATTGTTTTGTTAGTATTTAATTAGATTAATTGATTAGTTATTTTTAGTCTTAGTAATACATCCAACTAGTTAGATTCGTCGCTCTTCCAGACCGTCGTCAAGTAAGTCACTCATTTTATACATGTAACACATATGATTACTGATATAAAAATACATCAATATTCATATTAGTTCTATCTCTTTTCCAGTATTACCTACCTTGTACAAATCGTGGTATTAATCTTCTACTGTTACTTTTAAAATTCTTTATATTGAACACCGACCTACTTTTATTACAATGACGCATCATTACGAAGAATCCTTCGAAATACTTGACGAAATCATAATAACCGCTGACTCTTTAAAATTTTTATTCTTAATATAAATATTTTGTTTATTGTGATTAATAAGTTGGCAAACCGATTATATCCAAAATATATTTGTCCTGTCCATTTTGCACAGTTTTCCGGGGTTTAGCTTCTTTATATATCAAGAACAGGCTTTCCTAACCTGAATTGTTGAAATTGTAAATGATTTTGCACCTTCTCTCTTTAGATGTTGGAGTATTGATAGTGGTCGTATATTGTAAGTTGTTTGAATCGTTAGGAAGCTTTTTTCATAATACTATTTTCCCTATATAGTTTGTGCCAGTGTGAAAAATGTTTTGCTGTTTTATGTTTATCAGTGCACCTTGAGCTTGAACACATGTTCATTTTGGTATGTCCAAATATTTTTTTTACATTTGCAACAAATTTGTAGCTTTTTATTAAGTTAATTTTTTTTTGTTATTTCAAAGCTTGCTTTGAAATGATTTAACTTTTCTGTTTTAATGTATAAGAGACGATTTTTTAACGCATGTAAATGAGATAATGAATTTCTCAAGGAAGTTTTACGTTTATTGTTCGTTACTTAATAAAACCATGCTCATTCTAAAATATAGTAAAGTATGATGATAATTTATTTCTCTCGGCTCCAAGTCACTGACCGTTGACTCTGGTATGTTCTCGCGGTGGCTATAATAAAAAATATCTAACGCGAACAGACAAGTGAGAGCTTGTGATATATAAACAGTAATAAAGTTCAACAGATATTTAAGGATTTCAATTATAGAATTAGTCTGAAGCATCTCTTATTCTCTGCTCCATTTCAATGATGGATGACTAAGTGTTGCAGAGTGGTGTTGAATTCTGCAGCAAAATCTTTGTTCCATTATGCTTGGCATTGTCAGCCGACATATGACTGTTCCGAATTTGTTGCGAACCATTCTGTTGAGTCGACAATAGTGGAGAAAGCAGCCACGCTCCGCGTTACTGGAGGGTGTACCTAAAGGAATTGTGATCACTACATGGCAATTTCAAACGCCAAATATAATAAATTCTATAGTTAAAAAGAGTATGCAGTTTACAAAGGTCGTTATTGTGAAATGAAGATGTCCGAAGGACTTTACAGCTCTTTTGATTTTACGTATAGCTGTTTCAAAATTAAACTCTATATGAAGTGACACAAAAATTGTTTTTGTGGAACTAGCAGGTAAAAAATTACCGTTCGTGGCCCTGCTGGTTTTGCAAGCGTTTGGTCGGTGCCGGCAGCCGGTGCAGCGTTGCGTTGCGCCACATAACGCTACTCGGTAGTCGCTTGCCAAACTTAGTTATGACTTGATAAATGGCACGCTTTACCAAAAATTTAAGATAAGCATGCCCTTAAAATTCCTTTATATTTTAATTCACATTTGGGTAGATTATTATCATTAAATATATTTTAGGCATTGCCAATTATCATGTTTGTTTATAACGCAATAGTTTTGGAATATGTATGAGATAAGGAAACAAAATATTTAATATCAGTTGATTGTATTCATAAATATTTTTGCTGTTATTAAGTATATGAATAAAACCACTTTATCTAAAAGCAAGTGTCTTAAAATTCTAAAATAACCGGGTCATCGTGTCGATGCTCTAAAAATACTGCTTTTGCGCGGTGTTTATCAAAATCTCTCTTAGTTTAGATAACGTGGGTGTGTACTCATTTATGGGGAAAACAAGTTTTTGACCTATTTACACGGTTACGCTATTGCCGTGCATATTACCGAAGTGTTGCCTACCTTATACTACTTTAAATACTATTTCTAAAATCTTTTATGTTGACATTATCTACAATAGAGATTTTTCTGTTTTTTTTTTCGAATTCTTAGAATTTCACTGTGCTGGCTTAATGTTCTGGGGTCTCTGGCCCTCCCTTTTTGTGTGCGGTGTAATATCTTTCGGGAAGTAGAAATTTTCCGCAATAAAAATAAAAGTGTAAAGGTGTCTTATGTTCAGTAGAATTGGAAATTGTCCAAACAACTAATGTCAGTATATTTCGTATAATAAAATTAAAGGTGCTTATTCGATTAGCTTTTTGTTGACTTTTATTCAGGAAATATCACTATTGAATTCTGTAGTTTTTTGGGTATATTTATTAACAGCACGAACATTACTTGAGAGTATTATTGATTCTGATCAAGCGTTTGCACATGAGAAACATTGGGCATCAATTTTACTAATGATATCGAACGCTATGTTGTGCACCTCCATTATTCGGAAAGTATTTCAAGCCTGGCTGCATTTACTGTCGATAACACCCACTAAACCATATTGGGCTCGCTTCGTGGCAGGTCGTGGTGAATTATGATATCCCTATTTGAATCCATCCATAAAGGCCTATGTCTCTGCAATAAGGACATTAATAGGCTCTTGATGATGACGATGAAATGTAATGTAATCGAGTTAAATGATGGGAATTAGTACGTTAATATTGTACCTTACTAAAACCTGTCCTTAATGTGTATTGTTATTGTCCACAGGTGTACCTACACAGTTGGCGCTCAGCAGACGAGCTGAACATGTTGGTGGGTGCTAAAGTCGGTGGCGCTACTCCCCTTGTGATCGCGTGCAGAAATGGACATTATGACGTTGCCGAATATCTCATAGAGAGGTGCAAGGCTGACATTGAGCAGCCTGGGTCAGGTAATTTTTCTCATAGTTATTATCAGAGATGGACCTAGTATTCGTATGCTATTTGGTTCATTAGCATTCTTAGCAAATTTTTAAGTATGTATATTATTTCTGACGGTCTAAGTGCCAAGTAATCTTTGAAGTTATAAAATAATAAACAATTGAACATGTATAAGTACTACTAAAACACTATTTAAACTGGTTTTCACAATTAAAACTCGCGCACCAGAACAGAATAAGTGGGCTTTAATATACTCTGTTTACATACAACTCGGTATATCTTTATTATCAAAAATAGATTAGCAAACTGCGGAATCCAAACGGTAATTCACTAAAGAAGTTTGAAAAGTATGTTTACTTTTTATGGATAGTGAATTCCTCTGATTAACTTAACTTCTGAATTAAGAAAGTAGTAATAAAAAAGTAGTTGAGTACCTAACACTTCAGTCTTTAGAGCTATGCAAAGAAAGAAACAATGAAATCTTTCCTCTGTTTATTTATTATTCTCTCTTTATTTATTATTTAATTATCCTAATTGGAAATTAAATTAAAACCTCGTTTTAAGGTAACTGTAGGTAATTATTGATAATAGTTTTCAACGGGCGTCACAGTAACGAAAATCTTTATACCGGATATTAGGGTGAACAGAAAAATAAGTCTAAATTACAGTAATATTTTAAGATTTGCTTAAAAATGAGAATATCGTAAAATTAAAAGAAATCACGAAATTTCCTCTATAATGAAATGGTTTACCGTCTTAGTTGGTTAACTAAGTGCAATACTATATAGTATTATTTACGGTGAAAATTTATAAATGCACTGCCTGTTTTCCGTGTAGTAGCTGTGTTGCGTAAGCCTGTGTCAGTCGTGTGATGTAGCTTAGGTGAAAGACAGATTTTATCGGTGTAGTAATTTCAGAGCCTATTCAATGCCTATTCTTTAGAGTTTTAGTATAGATGAGTTATTACAGTTATCTAAAGTATGAAACGTTGATATATATAACTTTTGTTATACGCTATATTTATAACATTTGTTAGTTTGTTTATTGAGTATTGAGTTTCAGCTAGAAAATAACCAACCCTGTGACGCTGGCAACATTGACTCGAAGTAACAATCTTACTTACTAGAAATTTCGGGTTTTCCCAGTAATATAAACGCCAATGACGAGCAGCTAGTTTTTTAATTTTTTCATGAGTTTGTGTTATTTAACAAATATTAAATAAATCAAACTCAATCGTTATTTTACAGATCAAATAATAAATAAAACCACTAGCAGCTTAAAAATTATAGCTTTTCATATGCACGATATATATCGGATAAATAACAAACATCGGATATTTTGATATTTATTATAAATATCGGATTTCTGCGAACCCTGAATAGCATACCATTTGCTTGTTCTGGCGAATGCATAATAAAATTCCAACATAAATTGTGCGTTCGTAAATCATTATGTGTATGCTTTGCATGGGGCCGTGTTAAATCTATTGTCTGTAACAGAACGGGCCGAGCGACGGTAATTGTTTCCCCATTGCGTCAATAGTTTTTGGACGGTGGCCATTTCATTATGCAAAATGAACGTTTGTACATTTACGTACGTACGTGGGACATTCGCAAGCAAATATTTATAGTATTACTTTTTTTCTTATTAATTGCCAATGTATTAATATTATAAATGCGAAAGTAACTGTATGTCTGTTACGATTTCACACCTAAACCGCTCATCTGATTTGGTACACAAATATAGTGGACCTTTTGAAAGGGCAGGATAGTTTTTATCCCTGCAGATAGGCTTAAAGAGATACGAAGGGCGATAATAACCGAAAGCCGCAGCCGGAATGCTAGTGGACGTTTAACAATTGGACAATTTGTCCAAACAGTTTCTTAGCGAACCTCTACAAATAAAGTCAGCTTTCAGTTCGATCTGTCGAATAGTTTGTGTTTTGTGTGGATAGATCAGTCACTTTTGCATTAAATATATTTATTCAGAAAATAATTTCTGATATAAAATGTTTCAAACTTTTTGGACCGTGTAAATGACAATAAAATTTATCTAGTCATCATTATCACGTATTTCAACGGTACTAGTAGGTACAATCAATACACAAATGTGTTCTCTTCAATATAAGTTTAACTAGCTGCTTCGCCCGCCTAGGGAACTGTTAAATGAGATAAAAAGTTTCATTAATAATTATCCGCATACAAAATTTTATCAAAATCCGTTCCCTAGTTCTTGCGTGTAAGAGTAACAAATATACATACATTCAAACTCCCTCACAAACTTTCGCATTTATGATATTCTTTAGGATCTGTTTGGTTCTCTACTTTCTCCTCTGGCGCCAATCATTATAGTTAACTCTTTATTTCTATATCATTCCTCATTCGCTCTATCCCTATTTTCTGTGCTCAACATTCAGTATTTTTCCGCTGTAGTTTAACACCTCCTGATTTTGTTCCTTGGGGGAGCCAAACACCTGTTTTGCGAGATTTGTTACCGTTTGTACATGTGAGTTTGTGTGCGGACGATACACAGCAGGTCTTGCGGTTACTGACTGGGTGTGGAAGTTGCTAGATATAATAGTTTTACGGTTATAGCAATGGACTTCCGCAAAATAATGCCCGATTGTATTAAAACGATACATGTTTTTAAAAAGTTTTATTTTTTATTTGACATATATATTTAATGACAAAAAGCACTAATACATTTCCTTATAAGAAATTTATAACCATTGTATAGTTGTACACATAGCTCTGTCAATGTCATTTCAATGTGACTTTCAGATTGAAAAAAATATAAAATCCTGTATAACTAAACAACGCTTATACATTAGTTATTAGTAATAATAGCGCGTATTGTGACTCATTGATCTAAGTATAGTAATTGTATCGACCGTGTGAGTCCCCCAGCACGATGTAAAAGTGAATGACATTTGAATAGTTTGATTAGATTTACATATGATTAGATTTGAAGACGAAGGAGCCACTGAGGTACTAGATGGCGCAGTGGTTCGGTCTGTGATGCGGAAGTTAAGTCAACTTTCGCAAGGGCAGGTCGTTCGATGGGTGACCAAAATAATCCGTGCTTTGAAAGGCACGTGAAGCCCTTATTCCCGGCGTTTGTGGCACTTCTGTGTAGCAATCCGCATTGGGCGCGCGTGGTGGTCTCAGCAGTGAGAACATTAATAGGCTGACGAAAGACATCAATAAATGAGAAAGAGAGAGACATGATATAGTTCGCTCGAAATAGGGCGTCAAAAAGTATTTTAAATTAATAACTCTTAACAAACTATTCAGTTATTATAAATGTCTCAACTGTAACCCTTGCCTGTAAACTTGTTTATTTTCCCTTTTATAAACGGATATAAATATGGCTCATTTACACTAGTCCCTGGGGTCAGCACGCGGAGTGCGGGCGACTTCTACGCGCTCTTTTCATCTATACTAATATTATACTGTGCTATTAATAAAGGTTAGCGTCAGAGTAAATTTACGCTAAAATTGCAATTTCAGTATTAGTCGAAATTCATTCAAAACAAAAAATTAGCAAACCTACCACCTTCTTGGAGTAATTGTCGCTAGTAGAAAGTCGTACTACGTTAATAACCTTTGCTCAGTCTCTGTTTTATAATATGAATTTTAACTAATACTGAGTGCAATCTCAGCGTAAATTTACTCCAACGCTAAACCTTGTTTACTAATAACACTGATAAAGAGATTGATTGTTTGTTTGTATGTTTGTTCGCATCTAATAGGCTCCGAAACTATTGGACCGATTTTCAAAATTCTTACACCTATAACAGTCTTACAGTCTTACATCATACGCGGATGAAAGCTATAATTTAAGCTGGCGAAGTCGCGGGATAGCTAGTTGCTAAAACAATTATCAATAACCCAACGAAAGCGAGGAATAGAAATCGCCCGCACGCCGCATATGTCATCGACTAATGTAAATAAGCCATAACGATTATTCAAATACATTTAATTCTTAATCAAATACATTTAAATACATTTTTGTTTTTTAAATTGGTAAATTTCATAAAATTCACGCTTTAATTAAAGCGATACCTTCAAATATATTATGTAGTTTTTTAATGCAAAAAATAAACAAAAACTTGTTAGCTTAGGCGTGGACTGTATAACTATAGATCAAAGAAAAATTCGTCAAGCATATTTTTGAAACAACTCCATGAACACAATAAAAAGTCTCATTAAAATTCAAATAAAAAAATTAGAAATTTTTATTTCTAGAGTCTAAAGAGGCTAGCAAATGTGTCGAAAATTAACCTTTTTTTTCAAAATCATTTTAAACTTTTGCCAGTTGCACAAACTTTCGCGACGTTACTGGTACTAATTTGACATTAATTAGAGCTTAAAAGCGGATTTAAACCTTAATGGATGTTTGTGCAACTGACCGTTAGTGATTTTGTTTCAGGCGCCCTCTTAATGAGTTCTAAATATAAACACTTTTATTTGTTTTCCGTTAATTAATAATGAACTTGACATTGTTACGAGATTAGGATAAAACTTTGGTAGGCTCGGTTTGTATTTGTATGGCTTGCCAAGGTTTGGTTGTCTATGGCGCGCAAGGTCGTAAATACGAATTTCGATAAGATTGTCGGTGACAAACATTGTCTGTTATATTATATCTTAATGGATTTAAACGCTTTCGTTTCTATCTTCGAAAAAGAAGGGATTTTATGTTTATTGTTGTATTAGTTGACCTGGTTAACTTAGGGTCCAAATATATTTATTCTCATACCAAAATAAACTTCATTTACAATGACATAAATAAGACGCTTAAAAAACATATTATATTGTCATCTCGGTGGTAATAGTTTATTCCTGGAAATTGTTTGGAATATTCAGGTGATAAAATTTCACATCACATTAGCGGTCTTATTTTTGAGTTCCCGGCTTAAGTCCCGTTAACGTGAAAGAAGACAATTGATTTTCCACAATGTCGATCCCAAACATAGAAATTATTTTATTTCTATGGTTCTGAATTCCTTAATTGGAATCATATATTAAGATAACAATGATAATGATAGAGATGATTTGAAATGTTGTCTAAAATTAAAGAAATAACATCAAAAAAATCAATTTAGTTTATCGGAAGGAATTTCCAATTTTGGGAAAGGTTTTTTCTTTTCATATCTACGAACGTTATATTTACGTCTTGAAAGTGCAGACAGACACAGATGTTAGTATTCCATTTTTGCTACCGTAGTCATAAATAATGAGCCAATTCGGTGCAGCCGTTATGCAATTATCGATCAACAATAATTCATAATATTTTTTAAGATAGTGTTTTTTATTCGATTTTAAATTATAAAATAATATTTAATGATTGCAGTGACATTTGACGGTGAGACTATAGAGGGCGCCCCGCCTCTATGGTGCGCCGCTGCCGCCGGTCATTTGCCCCTCGTACGGTTGCTGGTTCGTGCAGGTGCTAACGTCAACTCAACAACCCGTACGCACAGCACGCCGCTCCGAGCCGCGTGCTTCGACGGCCATTACGATATCGTCAAGTTCCTAGTCGAAAACGGTGCCGGTGAGTACTAATGATGGTATATTCTCCATGCGACGAGTTTGGGATTGCTGTCTGAAAAAAGGCAAGGAGTTACTTCGGTCGCGTGCTGCTAAAAATTTGAAATCTGAAATTGCTTATACGTTATCTGATCATGCTTCAAAGTTTGACAAATTCCGAGTAACAAGAAAAGATGACAACCTGATTGTGAGATAATAATATCGTTATCTGAACATCCTTCAAAGTTTGACAAATTCCGAGTAACCAGAAAAGATGACAACCTGATTGCGAGTGAATAATATCGTTATCTGAACATCCTTCAAAGTTTGACAAATTCCGAGTAACCAGAAAAGATGACAACCTGATTGCGAGTGAATAATATCACTTATTCGCTGAATACAAGTTTTCTTTACATATTAAAATCTCCTTTGGACATTGTTTTTGGCCGTTAGTAAAAACGAAGTGAAGAAAAAAGCTTTGTGGAAGTATACAGAGATAATAAACTAAAAACAGTTCAAGGCTCGATCAGAAAACCTAAGTTGCGTTCGGGAAGTAAAACAAGTATCATTAATTTCATTGATATCTATGTTCCAGACATTGAAATAGCCAATCGCCACGGGCACACATGCCTCATGATCGCATGCTACAAGGGCCACATTAGGATCGCGAAGTACCTCCTCTCTTTGAACGCTGATGTCAACAGGAAGAGCGTCAAAGGCAACACCGCGTTGCATGATTGCGCCGAGAGTGGTTCTTTGCACATCCTGAAGATGCTTTTGGGGCATGGCGCTACGATGGATGTGGACTCATACGGTGAGTTTTTGTGTTTTACTGCGATTATGAGATGGGATATTTATGGCTGGTTTTTTAAATTAGAAAAGTAATAAAGGGGGTGTTCAAGTGTTATGTAACGTAACTCCACAGCGAATACCCATGCTTATGATTTCGAATCACTTTTATCAATACCGTCATTACTTTTTACGACTTTAGGGTAAAAATGGTCACTTGAGTGTTTAGAGGGGGGAGGGGGGTACATAAAAACGTTACGGTGCGTTACGCGGGGAGGAGGGGGGGTCAAAAATCGTAAAAAATTACCTTACGTAATACTTGAACGGTCACAAAGTCTCAACTGATTATTTCTAATAGTTTAAGTTTTATTTATGTTTCACATGGCTAAAGTTCTTGTTTTATCAAACTGTTGTCAACTGATCAATAAAAAAATTTAAATCAAAAAAGTCTGTTTTAATGACGTTTAAGTACAGTTTGAGACGTGCTTAACTATAAATTCTTAATTCAGAAACCAGGGGATAATGTGCTTAAGATTGTATTATATTTGAAATGAAAATCTATTGTCATTAACAGATCAAATGTTTTTATGACATCGAAATAAAAGACAAAAAGTGGCATTCTGGTCTGGTTTTTAGTCCAATGTCTTCAATTCATTAAATAATGTACATTTTAGCACTTTTTCTAGTTTTGAACAAAGGTACAAAATCTAGTAATTTATGGAAATTATGAAAAAAATTGCCGCTATATTTACGCTTTTTAACATTTCAGGTATGACACCTCTACTAGCTGCGTCTGTGACGGGACATACTCATATTGTAGAGCACCTTATAAACGCTGAATACGGTCTGGTGACTCGGCAGCAGCGTATAGATGCGTTGGAATTATTAGGAGCAACATACGTCGACAAGCGTCGCGACATGGTCGGTGCACTAGCCCTTTGGAAACGAGCAATGGATGATCGGTAAGTATATCAGTGGATATATGTATATATATATAATTTAGATTTTTCTTTACTTCGATATCACACAAAAACCTCCAGTTAAAAAAATCTGAACTAAGAATAGACGTCAGAATGATTGCTAAAAACGGAATTGCTACCAGGTACCTTATGATCACGGAGATGAGATGGTCACGGAGTAACTGAAGTTTATGCAATCATTCTGACGTTAAAGACTGTGAAAGTTTAAAACAACATAAGAATAGACGTATTTAAGTTAGCATGCAATGAATCTATCTACCAAGATAGTTTCCTTTAAATGGTTAATCAATGGTTAGATTGACTTATGTAATAAATAAGTCGTTGTAATCTCGCTATGCGCATCTGTTCTCTTCGTTTATTCTCTTTCACTCTAGCGAACTTTGAATATGATACTATAATATGAATTAGAGTAGTAGAACGAAATAAATATTTGATCTGACCATTGTATTTAATGCAGATTCCCAGCTGATGGCAGTGAACCAATACCCAAACCTAAAGATGTGCCGCGCATAGAAGCATACGATTATGCCGTGGAACCTAGCAACGCTCAACAACTAGAAGAAATACTTGCCGACCCTGATGCTATGAGGATGCAGGCTCTCGTTATCAGGGAGAGAATACTAGGTGAGAATAATACCTCTAAATTATGTATTTTCATAGCTACATTCAGAACTGTACAAATAGAACTATAATTTGGCTATAAAAAAAATTAAAGAAAGTTTTAGATATAATTTACTATCTGTTTATAAATATTAATGTGTCAATATATCTTATGTTTAATACTTGATTGATGTCTTTAGCAATAAACCAAACTCGGAACACATATTTGAAACCATAGACGTTTATATTCAATATATGATGACATGGCAGGTCCAGCTCACCCGGACACGTCGTACTACGTGCGGTACCGTGGCGCTGTGTACGCGGACGCGGGACGTTTCTCGCGTTGCCGTCAGCTGTGGCACCACGCGCTGGACATGCAGCGCGCCGTGCTGCCGCCGCTCTCTCCCCTCACGCAGTCGAGCCTGTTCAGCTTTGCGGAGTTGTTCTCGTACATGCTCGCCGAGCGTGCTCGTCCGCCGCTTCGTGGTGAGTATCGATCACCATCTTATTAAATAGCTGACCCGGCGAATTTCGTACCGCCATATTTAAAACAAAAACGTTGTCCTGATAATAAGGAACACAATAAAAAAAAATCATCCAGTATGGTGCAGTCGTACAGAATTTTCGTAGCCTATATGTAAATTCAGAATACTAAAAAGAGCCCCTACGGAAAATTTGCAACGCCTAGCAATTGCAGTTTCTAGAAATTTGCATTCCGCTTTTATTTCACATTGGACAAAATCACTCACAACTTCGCTCAGATTTCGAATTGAGTATTTAAAGCACTTGTTATGGCAATATGAAACAACAAAAGTAACACAACCCCCTGACACAACAATGTAGGCACAACTCTGTAGTTTCTTTTTCGTAAATCAATTAATTATATTATAAGAATCACATCACAATATAGTAATGCAATCGCTCGACAATTTTTGAACGATCATAGCTTGGTTAAATAGAAATACTCAAAATATTTTCTCTTTATTCAGGTCGAATCGTCCCACCTGTAACCTTCGAAGATGTAGATCCAGTGTTCAGGAAAGCCTTATCCGAAATCCATCGGGGCATGGAGTTGCTGGACTCGAAATTGAGCATCGATAGGGAACAAACGTTGACCACATTGCAAAGGGTGTTAGTCATATCTTTACACCTGGCGACGCTCATGGCAAGGCTATTGGATGAGCCCGAATGCACAGAGGAGGTTTCTAGAAATATACACAAGGCTGTCTACTCACTCGTCAAGTTAGATATTAAGGTAAGTTTAGTATATTTTAAAGGGAACAAATGTAATATTATATTTGACTAGCTCCCACAACTTCGCCCTCGTAAATTATAGTCTATGTCATCTGCGTATGATTTAGCCTCCCGTAGATGAAAGAATATTCATAATCGGATCATTATTTCTGATGCTTACCATCAAAATCAGTATGCGTAGCATGAAGAACCCGAGAACGTTTTGTATACATTCAAATGTCAATTTTAGACTTTTCTACTGTACAAATAAAATACCGTTAGCAGTCCTTGATAGCAATCCTTTAGTGAAATATATCTTGTAAAAAATTAAACTTGTATTAACTTTTGAAGTAGGTTTTATTTGATAAAACCATTATGTTATGACAGAGCTGCGTTGTATGTGATCGATGTTGTTTTCAAAATATAATTACTTCAGATCAAGTGTCAAGTTAGACAGTTTATCGATTTTTAGAACCATCGTTTGTAACAGCACGTGTAACCTTTAACTTCTACCACGGTATCAACAAACAAAAACAAGTTTTATAAACAACTGAAAAAAATATTAATTTAAATTACTTGTCGCTATGTAATGAATGATAAAAATTTGCTCTTTTGTTGGCCCGGTGTCACATGTTAGACCGCGTCAAAACATATTATGAATAACATCCACGATTTAAGTACCTACCCGAGACGGATATGTGTTTAAAGTGTTTTTCTAAGATAAAAATATAGATGTAAAGTTCAACATACGCAAGCCAGCAGTTGAAAATAACTTTAGTATACACAATAGTATTTTTGGTGATAAAACGTGCTGTTTAAATCAGGGCTGTGGATCACTTAGGAAAATATCGGTTAACAATGATTATTAACTAGATTTTTCGAAAACATTCTTTGGGTGTGGATTGGATAGGGATGATGACTGAGAGAAAAGAATTTTTATTTAGTCTGTCAGCCAGTTAATAGAAAATATTAGATCCTACATATCTTTTTTTGTTTCAATTTAACAAGAATTGGCTTTGAATGCGTCGCGCCCCCTTCGCCTCGCTCCGACACAAGAAAATTAAACGAAAGATCAACTAATTAAGTTGGTTTTGTTATTAAATATTATTTCCATACAAACTTGCAACATCTATTTCACCCCTCTAAAGGTAAAATTCCTTTAAACGGTAAAGCAGTTGTTAACTCTGTACCGTTTAAAGGAATTTTTGTAACCTTTATTTTTTAAATATCTTATAATAAAACAATATAATTTTTATACCCTCTGATCGGGCATTTATCGGGCAAATAAGATTTATTCCCAAAATGCCTGGGTTTTTTCCTTATCTGCCCGCCTGGCGGAAACACTTTGCCTATGTCTAATCTTCGCACACCGTCTCTTTGAGATCAATAATTCTTTAATGACGTTTGAACACTCTTCATTAACAAATAACAACGGGAGAGTGCCAAGGCATACAGATAAGACGGCGAAAGCGATATGTAAGCGGAGTAACCGAAATCTGTGAGCAAAATTAATTAGTATTTTGAAAGAAACCACTTTGTTGTGATCACTGATAAGAACCGAAATAATTTCGATTCTGAATAACCGAAACCCAAATGAAAACGCACTTGACAACAATATATGAAGTTTGTTACGAGCTGGATAGTCAGGTCAGCCCTGGTTTAAATTTATCATGACACGTGTTAAATTTTGTCATAACAATGCGTGATAGTGTTACACGTGTATCTTGAAGCGTGTAATGTTTTCGATGTAAAAATTCATAAAATTACTTAAAAGGTTAACGATATGGAATCTTTATTATGAATTGTTTTTTTTTGTATATGCTTGATAACTTGTAGTAGGAAGAGAAGTATATCAGGTTATCACTACGTTATAATATCTCTTAGTGTGCCGGTTTGATAACTTCTATAAACATATGACTCGGACTGAAACTTTGAAGGTTATCTAGAAGTTAAACTGAATTGTAATGTATGGAACTATCTACGACCATAGTTTTATAGTAAATATATTTGGACGACAGTATTTGCAATTATTTGAAATAAGAATAATCTCGCACGCTGGAGTTAAATCTAGTTTCACTAAATTTACTCGTCCATATTATTACTTACGACGTGCCGTTTTTTCTTTTTAATTTCTAAAATCGCTGTTGTAAGCGGGGGTAATCATTCTCATAATCATTCTTCTTATAAATCTTTGGTTTTTTTTTTTTACCATACCCGAGCGCTTTCGTTATCTACAAACTGGGTCCTTCGAGACGTAATACGTTTTATTAAAAGGTTAAGTTATAGTTTACATCACATATCATCAACGATGATATGTAACCCTTAGTACTTTAATATATTGAAATATCAAGCTTTAGAAAGCTCTTGCAAGTTTTTGTCACAAATTTTAGAAGTGCTTCTTATGGACTACAGCTAGTGATCTAAAAATACCATTTTTGGTATTATAAATCTCGCCTAAAGGATTTTATCTGGGCATATCGTACGCTGAGAACGATAGTGACACGATGCAAAAAATGCGATTTTCAGTAATGAGCGTTTAAAGTTCAAGAAGTTGTAATCCGCCCCCTCCAAACAACGTATCGTCACTACGCCATCTAGCAGTTTCTATGCAAACTACGTTCACAGGGATCATTGCATTTTAAAGTTTATATTTAACAAAGAATAATGTTGCCAAAAGTAAAAATGCGTTACTTCCAATTTTCGTATCAAATATTGATGTTTTAAACTAGGGTTCGTATTACGCGTTCCGCAATTAATTTAATACAATAATAGGGAATTATGATCTCCCAGAGTTGGCAAAGAACAGTTAGTAGTACAGAAGTGAATTCCCATCATAATGTCCTCAAAAGAGGAAGATTTGCGTTATAAGCTGTTCCTGGTCTATAAAAACTCATGCTGATTTGCCAGCGCAACTGTGCCAAAAATTGCTAACCAACTTTTCACTGCTGATAGGTTTGATCCACCAATAGCTCGTTAAGGCGTGTTACATGACGGGGAGAGAGAGCCAGTATTAAAAAAATCGCGTAACGTAATACTTTAACGGCTTATATAAGCACAAAAAGCAATTGGCTGACAAGCTTGCTCTGTATTAGATTGTATGAAACGGGTATTAACGCGATCTAATATAATGCAACGCGAAAGTTTATATATTCCTGCTCTGTGTATGTGATTTATTTTATACTCGTATATATTCGGGAATACCATATGATACTTGTATGTAAACTTTAGATTAAATTACAGACGACCAATAAAATGTTTCCACGGTGTTGTTGAATATTAATTTACTGTTGTGTTTGTTGTGCAGGTCCGTCAGGGTAGGTCCGCGTTGCACGTGGCGTGCTCGGCGGAGAGTCGCGGAGGGAGGGGTGGTGCGGGCGCGGCTGCGGGCGGCGGTGGTGGGGGCGCGGGCGGGGCGTGGCTGCCGGCGCCCGGTGACGCTCAGCCGTGTTGCGCGGCGCTAGTGGCGTTGATGCTGCGACTTGGCGCGCCCACAGACGCAAGGGATGCCGACGGGAACACGCCGCTGCATCTAGTATGCAAGGTGAACACTTCTTCCTTATATGTAACCTGATTTAAATCGCGAAGTAAAGTTAAACGAATATAATAATGTATAGTCCGTTTTACGTAGTGTGGGCACGGTGGCGTTTGTTAACAAATCCATTTCACGCAATTTGTATTTCCAAATTATTAAAAACCATCGTTGTTAAATAGGTTGACTGGGTATATATTAGATATTTATTTAAGATAATTAATCTTTGTTCTATAAAGACTAATTATATGTACAAACTATTACCTACAGACTTTGAAAGTTGTATTTATTATTGTGATAATACATGTTATTTTGGTAATGACATGATTTTGTAAATGTGATTACTTATGATAAAGAGCTGGTAAGTTTCTTTCGCTTGTTCTTCTTGTCAGCTAAAACACGTCCTGAACAAGTGGTAGGGGAAAAATAAAATTAAAATCCTGACTTAATTTTAAGATGTTAAGACTAAAATCATTAAGATATATAGCTTTTTTTGGAAAAAATTGCGCTTCATAATCGTTCGATCAGAATCTCTACGTTTATTACAGTGTAAATTTTAGTTACTGTGCAATTTCGTGACTTATTTTGCACTACCGAAACTACCCTAACGTTATCTTAGTATTATTTATTTATTAAAAATTACATAAACTCAATTTACAGTTGAACCCGTGCCCAGCAGAGGTGGTTAGAGAGTTGCTAGCTCACGGCGCTCACATAGACACTGTCAACTACGAGGGCGAGACACCGGAAGAAATCCTCAAATCCACACAACAAAGTCTCTCGTCCATCGTGAACCCGCTCAAGTATACCACGCTCAAGTGTTTGGCCGCGCGCACAGTCAAAAACTACAGGCTACCGTACAGACATGTCGTCCCGCACTGCTTGCACTCCACTATAATCACCCATTGAACTAATGAAAACCACCGGGAGATTAGGTGAGTCGCAGTCCTTTAGTTAGTTCGCCGATCGGTCGCCCGACCGGTCGACTGTGTGATAATGTATTTAGTAACGATCGCATTTCTATAATGTTCCGACTTTGGCAGGCGGCGGTTGGTCTGTCGGCCGTTTTGAAACTTGTAGTTTTGTTTGTAGCTAATATGATTTATTAAGGATTTAGTTTTATATGTTCTGTTTTGAGGCTAGTTTGGTGATTCGGATGCCGGATTGTCGAATACCAGTTAGAGATTGTTTCAATGGAAAATATATTTGTCGTTCTAGTGTCGAAATTATATATTTTTGATATAGTAACACTTCCTTCTGAGTAATATAATTGCCAGTATAAATGATGCTTGTGTATTTTTTGTATTTATATTGTTCCATTTGAATATAATATTTTGTCAATTGTTTCTTCTTCAGGTGATTTTTTAATTGTTATATTTGTGATATTTCATTTATTTGGAACAGTTTTTTTTTTCTTTTCGATGCATATTATATATTTAAATACTGCAGGAATTGATTGTTGAACTCTGTTATTTATTTTTGTAACTGTATTTTTATGATTTATTAGTTTTATATAAGTTTTGTATTCGGAATTGAAAATTACACATTGATACGTACATAGCTTATTTCTTTACCACGCTCTCTCTGTGATGTAATCATATAGTATCTTCAGAATAAAATATGGACGTATCGTAAAGAGTTTATAGAAAAAGCTATTTGTTTTTTGGCATTATATGTTGTAACAAAGTAAAATCATACCAATATATTGTCTAGTAATTATTTATATTAGAATACTTATACAGCAAGAAAAAGCTGCATTATGTTATATTATCCAAAACAATACAAGCAGTTTACTATGACAACACTGTACAACCGCGCATTCGTAACATTATAAACCACAATTTTGGAAGAAACGCCATTTTATATTAACCTAAACATTATATTACTTACTTAATTCTTAAGCCTCATTGTGTGTCTAAATGATAAACATTTTATATTCTTAGTTTGGAAATGTTTCATAATTATAAAAAACTACAGTTGTTGAAAATATATTTTTTAATTCTTAGATAAAATGTTATTAACATCCAACCAAATACTAATACCATAAATTGAATGTTGCAATTACTGCATTCAAATATGACAATATAATACAACACAAGATAGATCTATCTTTTCTGAGGTTTGAGGTACTTTTAATGTGATTACGCTTTGCTATTATTTTAATGATTAAAATACATTTTAATGCTGATTCTGAAATGTACTTTGTGTTATGATGTTTTATGCTCAAATTTGTCTAAAACACTAATAGATTTTATATTGCTGTTACACATTATTGTTGATTACACCTCTGTTTAATAAATGAACAGTGTTAAATTGGATAAAAAGCTATTTCCATATAAATAATTTACGTACACATTAGAATGTAGGTCAATGTGTGCCATTGCACAAGTATTATTTATTTTAATAGACCTGCTTTCTCTTTCTTATGTACCCAAGTGGACGTATATTATTTTGAAGAAAATAATAAAAACTTCCGAACAATTCATATAAAGATGTTTCAACATATTGATTTAGTTAGAAAAAAGGCAAGATAAGTATTCGCATAGCAACATATTTCAAATGTGTACGTACTAGCAAAATCTGCACAAAATATGAAGATTATTCTTTTCGGTATCAATATCATCTTGACTATAGTTATATACTTGATTATGTTGTCTAATGATTTTCTTTAAAAATATGTCCTATTATATGCTACAGACAATATCTATAGGTAACTAATAACCGTGACTTTGTAAACAATGAACTAACACGAACGCCAGGAAGCTATGCCATGTGTTTTAAGAACGGTCTTATGGCCAAGTGATATTTGCTTTTAGTTAATGAGATCTTGTTATCAGTCTCTTTTTAGGTTATGTGTACATGATTACAACTAAGGACTAAAATCACCGTTCTTCTCGAGTGTTATAGACCTCTAGTCCCCTTTATATCTTTTTTACATTCTGGGTATAATGTTGTTTTAATGCATTATAGTTTTTGATGTTAATCATATGTGAACACGGAGTGATCAAATACGTTTGACAAGTCTATATCGATGTAAAACAAATTAGAAAGTAAGTAGATTATTAAATATAAAATTATATGAATAAATTGGTATTGTATATTAGCTAGATGAATAATATGACAAAGTATATAAACTATTAGAACTGATTTGAAAGTAAATATCTCTTATGTTACGACTTCTCAAGCGGTATGCTGTTTATATATTGTGTGTATTTTGTCATAGTATATTTTGAACTACTTAGTAATACTGTGTGATTACATGATACTAGTTATTTTTTCGATATTAAATAAAAAGCTTTAAAATATTACTTTGTTTTAATTATGGTCTGTGCTTTAAAATATGGGCCCAATTTTTATTATGTAAACTAAAAAAAAACAATAACAACTAATAGCAATAGAAAAACTCAAAATTTAAACGCAGACACTTACTAAACTCACATGGCGACGGCTGGGCAGAATGGAGGTCTGGAGCTGGAGGGTCTGGTGTCATGTTAATTTGTCTGAAGCGCCGATTTCACTACCCAATTTATCGGACACGATCCATCGGGTACACTGTAAACTGGGAAGTCTAATCGCTGTTAGAGAGTGAGGGTCCCGATATCGGGTGATCGTGAGCGCCCGACCGCCCGATCTCACTAGTTAGTGCGTTAGGGCCGATTGGGTAGTGAAATTGGCGCTTGAGTAGGAAGTTACTAAAAGACGTCATAGGCATATCAACCGGAACCATCGATAAAGAAACCGACTACAATTCATAAAAAAACAAGTGTTAATAACGACCAGCTAGGACAGACTTACGCTATAATGTTGCTAAAGTACTGTTGCCGAACAGAGAGAAGTTCGTATGATGACCTGGTATTATATTCTAACATTTGTGCGCAAACGTTTCTATGCACTTGCACTCGCTGTGATGCATCCAGCCAATTGTGTCTTAGTAAAGTGAGCAATGAATGTGAATATAAAATGTTTACGATATCTATCAAAAGTCAACGTACGAATTTGGCGATTGCGTTGATTTTTTTAAAGATGTTGAATTAATAATATGATAATTTGACGCTTAGGAGAATGCATAAAAAAAGAAACTACAAAAATTTATGTGCTGCCATCGCACACGTTGTAGGATCTATACAAATAGATGTCAACGAGGAAGTCTTTAAAAAAAAACATTAGTTCCCGAAATCAAACTAGTTATCGCTATGGTACTTTCTTGATTTCTCCATGACAACCCTTCCGGTTTTCTTTCATCTATAAAAGAAAATTAAACTCAATAAACAACTCATATGCAATTTGTGCTTTTTCGCATTTGTATCTATTGATACCTAACTTCGAACTTTGCATATTTCAGTTTTTTAATATGTTAGTAAAAAGGGACGGTAATGACTATCTTTGGTCCATTCGTTTCCTGCAAAAATCAACTTTTGCTAGTGGAGGTGCTTGTTTGATGCTTTCTTTTTTTTAATACTTTCTCATTGTCAATGCGGCTATGGATTTGATAACTCGGACAAATAAAGAGTCGCAACTCGATTGAGTACGATGACTGAACCTTTGAATAAATGACTTTTTTATTTTTACACAGGAAGATGAAAACTAATTTAAAGGTAATTTAAAGGGCATATCTACTACTCGTACGAATTAATATGACATCTGAGGCCCTATTCTATTTGTTCTCGAACGAAAATTGGAAAAATTTCAAATCGTTCCTATAATTTTGTTAAAATCGTATCCGTGAAGATTTGGTGTGCATCAGATGTATTGTCAGGTCCTATCCTCACAAATGATCAAAACCTTGCCAAAAATTGCAAAAGATAACAATATAAAAGTAACTTAAATTTATAATGTTCATTAGTAGAATCAAAAGTAAAATTAATTTATATAATTGAAGCAGTTTAGAATCGGCGACTACGGCAATGGGAGGTTATCCTCCCCACCACACACCAAAGAGCAGAGAAGCATAGTAAAGAAGAAAAAGAATACTTTACTGCTATATCATCCATATAATTTTTTTTTTTACCTTATTTTATGAACATCAAAGTTTTCTTTTCTCGAGAAATATGATATACGAAAGTAGAAAGACTAAGAAACCTTTACTCTTATTTAATTTGGAAAATATAACTGCGTTTTTTTATTTTTTGTTTTCTGTTAAAAAAAAACCAACACGAAAGTAGGCTGTATATAAATCCCTTTGCTTTTCGATAAAGTCAGTGTTTAAGGAAAAACATTTATCAAAGTTCATAAAACATCAAACAAAAGTTACGTATTTTGAAAAAGTTGTATCTTGAAAACTAAAGAAACTTTGTACCTTAACACTTTAAAAAATTAAATGCATCTGTGTGTATGAGTATGAAAAAATATCACCACAATTTGCGTAGTCGCCGATATTAAAGCTGGCCACATAATATATTAAAAGAAGATATTATGGTAAATTATAGCCACGTTAATAAAAAGAAAAGACTCTACATGGTTGGGAAAATTGAAAGTAAATAGTAATGGCAACATTGACGACAAAATGTCAAAAAATATTTTTATTTTCAGAAATTATTTTTAAAAAATGTTAATGATTTAAGTGTGAAACTTAATATTCTTTCATATTATGTGTATTTGTGAAAGAGTATCGTACTCGTATTTTTAGTTGTTTTTCTTCGTTTAAAACACATTGGTGCTTAAACGAAGAAAAACACATCCAATCCAATGTTTTTCTTCGTTTTTGCGGAGCATTTTTTTGTACTTTCTCGGCGGGAGTTGAATAAGTATTGAAGTGAAAAACGAAAAAACTTAGACAAGCGTCTTAGTTTCAGTAGCTTCACATTTTTAGTATTTATTGCGTATCATTATACGCAATACATACTATACATACATATTTACATATTAATATTATTGTTTTATTATTTGGAATATGAAAATAAAAATATTAAATAACCAAAATCCTCAATAAATCCATTTCTTCGTCTTTGTCAAAGAAGGGTTCTTTGTGGAAGGAAGCTAATTTTGTTCCTTTACACAAAGAGTCTAACCCTGATTTCTATTCTGATTACCGTCCTATTTCTATTTTGCCTTTCCTATCCTAAGTCCTAGAAAAACTAGTTTATCAACAGTTCAGTAAATTCCTTTTTTGAATAACTTAAACCCAAATCAATCTGGTTTCCGGCTCGGTCATAATACAACTACTGCACTTGTGAAAATCGCGGATGACATTCGCGTAGGTATGGAGAGACGACAGCTCACGGTGTTTAGTAACGCGTTTAATACTGTTGATTTTTAAATCCCATTAGCTATGTTGATTTCTCTCAATGTTTCTCCTAGTGTCATTGAATGGTTTCGTAGATACCTGTATAGACGACGGCAGCGCATAAGTGTGGGAGAGAATCTTTCATATTGGTGCGATACAACAGCTGAAGTTGCACAGGGTGGCGTTTTGACTCCTCTCCTATTCTCTATCATCATAAATTCAATCACGCTTCCTCTCTCTTCTTCCTATCACATGTATGCTGATGATTTGTAAATTTAAACTCAAGTCTCTATAGATAAACTAGCTACAGCATCAATAATGATTTGGAACATATCTCAGATTGGAGTCGACGGCGTGGCTTGTTAGTCAATCCTCACAAAACACAAGTAATTATCAATGGTAGTTATTGGTATCAAACTAGGATAAAAATGGAACACTGCCACCGATATTGTTGAATGGCGTTTGTATGCCATTATAGGACACTGTTAAAGACCTTGGTGTCCTGCTTGACTGTAATTTATCTTGGGGTCCTCATATTTGTGAGGTGAGCAGGGGGGTGTTTGGCGCAAACGGCTCGCTGAAGCGCCTTAAAAACCTTTTGCCGACAAAGACTAAAATCTCTATTGCACAATCCCTTCTTCTGCCACTACTTGATTATGCTGATGCATGTTACTCGCACCTAAGTGTCATTTTCCTAAATAAACTTGAGCGTCTCCAGAACTTGCGTATTCGTTTTAGTTTCGGGTTACGCAAATACGATCATATCTCCAACTACCGATCTCAACTTCTTTGGCTACCTATTTCTCGTAGAAGAGACTGCCACTTCGTATCACTTCTTTATTCCATTCTCTTTCATCCACATACTCCTCTCTATCTTAAACAGCACTTTATCTTTTCCTCCACAAATCCTATCCGAGATCTACGGTTTTCCCACAACCATTCCTTAGTTCTCTAACTCTTGGTCTGTGGTTATTAGACGTGCGCAGTCTCGGGACTCGTTCGTGAAACAAGTTAAGGACTATTTCCTCAAGCTGGATTTTTCTTCATTTTAGTACTTTGTCTCTCCGTTCATGTGTTCCTTTTTTTCTCTCTTTCTCGTTAAGTATATTTATTTTATATTTGCATTAAATTATAATGCACTAACCGTCACATCATCATCTGTTCAATGGTTGAAATTGCTACCCTAGCAATAAGGCCGTCTTTTGCATGTTCATTGTTTTTTTTTGTTTTATGTTTGTTTTTAGTGCAATAAAGTAATAATCAATCAATCAATGTGTAAAAAGATATAACTTCAATTGACTTTTAGTTTAAAGGAAAAGGTAAATTATGCTTTTTTACATGTTTGATGATAACTTTATTAAACAAGTATTTGTAGTAAATGTGCAACGAACTACATAGCAGGTGATATACGTATGCACCACCAATTCGGCTGTTTCTTAAATAGCTCTATTGCGATTTAAGAAACAGTCGAATGGATCAGCCTAGATATACGGAGTACTATATGCAGAGCTGATAACAGACATTCTTCTTTGAATTTGATATCCGTTTCAAGTGCAGTTATTGATTGCATTTGTTTTTGCGGGAAAGATATAAATATTTACTGTATTACAAACAAAATCAGCTACTTCTAAATTAAGTACAAAGACATGACTGCTTTTTGAAAATAAAAAAAAAGAAATTTCAAGAGTTCTGTCGCAAACAAAATTTGAAATTGAATTCCATCCGTTCGAAACGAACAAAATTCCAAATCACAAAGACACGTAATAGGTAGTTATTATATTGTGGCTACTTACTTGCATGGCGACGGCGAAACGTCGTATAGGTTAGGCCTTTAAATAATATTGTATGTAATTCCGAGCCTGGTATTATGTTAATTCGTACGGTGGGTTAGTGTTTTTTGCGTATTTCCAATTATATTGAAAATAATAGGTAATACAAAACCTACTCTAGAAATTATTTATATCGATATCGTTCAACGTATAAATGTATAATAGAACATGGAAATACAGCATATACATAACAAGCTGAATTCTGTGCTCCGCTTTATATTCTTCTTTAAAGTTAGCTCATCACCAATGTTGAGATATAAACTATACATATAACATAATAAATAATTTAAACTTGCAGGTCAAAAAAACTAAAATTAATTTGAAAGTTAGTTATTATTATAAAGTAACACGAAATGTTGTCATATTTATTAATTTTCGATACTCAATTAACTTTTATTACGCCAGAAAGAAAATTTGAATGAATATCAGTCATTATCCGAAATTCACTAGTGACATCTAGTTTGCTTTTGAGAATTAACTTTTTTAAATACTTCCTTATTTGTTTGAAAGCTATTGACAGATGTCAAATGAAAGAATTGAATGCTAACTTTCGACGAGCTTGGGTAAGTTTTGTAGAGTTTCTTAATCTTTCAAATCATGATTGATTCCAATAGCGATTGCGGCTTCAAAGTTAAATATGTAACATTAATCTTTTAATAAATCGCTATACCTCTGAAAAGGATTGCAATAGATTTGAAATAAGAAGATCAATTAGCCCACTGGAAGGAAACAGTATTTAAAAGATGGTGGCGAGCAGTAGCACAATCTAATAAAAATAGGTTTACTTACATAGTTATTGAGAGAGGACAAAAGTAAATAAAAATGTCTTTCCAAGAATTTAATAATAGATAACGCCTGTTTATAATTATTTACTTGTGCAGCTAATTAATTAAAACTACGACTTACTAGTATAAAATTACATTAATTATTACATTATCGATATCACTTGCATTATGATATCATTGATATGTATGAAGATGGGTATTATTTTATTTTAAATTATACAGTCTCTTTTACATTGTAATTAAAAAAGTAAATAATATTGTATGTAGTTTTAAAGACTCTGTATTAAACTTCTACTTTACACACATCAAGATATAAGTAAATGACAAATTTTCATATTCAGCATTGAATTTTATAATGAACCTAATAAAGTCGAAGATTGCGATTAGATCTTTTGACAAAAATTATCTTCATTTACGAGTAGGACCATTTTATATTATATATACTAATGCTGATTATTTCTACGCATTCAAGTTGCATTTTAATTATTTATGATGCGACCTTTAGAAACATGATCTCAAATCTTGACTTTTTAAATTGTTCTGCAGATATTTAAGGTGATTGGCACTTGACTGTTTTGGGAAGAGTATTTTAAAGCTTTCATATGAGCATCAGGTTTATTTTTCTCCAAAGTGTTATCAAATGATAGAAAAACAAATTTTTGTTTATTAATTTAAATTGCCCCGCGAAATCAGTCAGTCACATGACATTTCGAGCCATGACGTCACATTTAAATAACATTAATACTGGTTACAATCGCAACAAAGTCGTTGACATTTAGTTTATTGAATTGTGACGACACACGATCCTCCGTCATGATCGCCCACGTTTCGGTTTCTGTCATCCCCATATATACATATAATTTATTAAAAAAAAAACTACATAGTTATTGTTATGGTTACTATTTACTACATATTTTATTGTTATAACTGTCAAGTAACCAATGGTTTATCGCCTGTTTATGTACAGTTAAATAAATAATATTGACTAGTTGCGCTACTATATTACACATTGACTAGATGTTGACTAAGCGGACTCTTTATCAGCGTTAAATATTACGGAAAATATGTTTTTAAACGAATAATCTGCATTATATCATAATTCAAAATAAGATATGAGATGCTGAGATCAAATTAAGTAACAACTGTTACATCAAAAACGAGTCCAATTTTATTATATATTTTAAATAATATACAATAACTCAAATAAAGCTTACGACCTAACTACGATTTCAATGAATTGAATTCATAACAATTGCTTTCAAGTTTTCACTGATACTATCTAATATCTACAACATTTCTACATAGTTACTTATTATTCTATTTATTTAATTCATTTTATTCCCCAATATTATATACGTAGCTATCAAATTCAATTATTTCCAAAAAAATAAAATTCCATACTTTTTGATTAGGTATTTTCGGAAATGCTTATTCTCTCGGAGTTGCTTCAAAGACCTGTCGTACTAAAGCCTATACTATACGAACAATTATTTTTGGATGAAAATTATAATAAAAACTGGTACACAATATCTTACAGAGAGAAAGATCATCACAAGAACGTGTAAAAATATTTTAACGGTTCACATTTTTGTCACGAGCTCTTAGACTATAATTGGCGTCTGTGCATCTATGACAGGGACGATTCACAAATAAATTGGATGCATTTTTTTATAAACAAACATACCCACAATATTAAATTGGTACCAGTGTAAAAGAGAAATGTTCTGAATAGTTGCTCACAATAAATATTAATTATCTGGTTTGCCTAATGATTAAAAAATGATTTTATAGTTGTTTATCAGCTGGTTCATAAAATTAATGAGGCGCTGGCGCTGGAGGCAGTAGTGGCAAAGGAGCTACACATGCTGCGCAGCCATCTCTTTCTGAAACAACAAACATAGTTCACTTTTGCAACTCCAAAATTTTGCATGCCTCGCAATAATAGTATACACGAGATCCGTAAAAGTTTGCTAAGCAAATATTTTATTATATGTATTTTGATTAGTATTGGTAACAGGTGAGTGACAAAAATGACACTATTTCGAACAATAAGAGACAAAGCTTATGGGGGGTAAATTGAATAATTAAAGAAACTTGAATATAACTATTTTTTAATTTTCTAAGATAAACAATATGACAGTTAAAACTACCTCTTTCATGTAAATAGTGTAAGGCGGGACGCAGGTCTGGAAGCCGCCATGGCTCCATTCGTTCTTCTTCTCGTTCCACCTTCGGCACCAATCCACTCCAACAAGATTCCTCGGTACGGAGGGTCGTTGTGTGACCAGTCCATGTGCATGACTGCAAAGCGAGAAAATGAAAGGTATTGAAAATATTTTCGAAATTCATACTAATATTTTCTAAGTTTTCGATAGTGTGGGTAGTAATTCGGGTTGTATCTTATTAATGTCCCCGTTTTTCTTGCCATGGGCAAAGCCACTCTAGTAGTGGGGGCAATGACAGGCTAGAATGATGATGATGGATTATTAGGACAGAAGACCCGATTTTGGCTACCGCCCCTTTTTGGTAATTAGGCACTTTAAAACAGTGAATGGTTTTTAAAATGTTGCATTATAGCAAAACTAATACCGTTGACAGTTGTGTAGCATGTAGCAAAATGCATTTCCTCGTAACTCTTAAAATAACGAAATACATATATAATCTAGAAATGGCCAAAACCGGGTCATCTGCCTTACTATCGATACTTTATTTAGAATTTTAGACAATCAAAATCTGGTGTTGATCAATGATAACATTCTGCAACTCGGCAATCTTAATTATTAATCGTATATGATTTCATACTATATATTTAAAAATACAACTGCAATATGTAATCTCTAAAGTATAAATAAGGATTTAATTTCGCCCATCTCCGTATTTGGACTACATTACGTCTAATCTATTTTGTTAATTAATATTACCATAGCCTAATATTTGACTCGGAATATTTAATGTGGTTTTTGTTTGATTTTCATGTCTGCACGCTCACGGGTGTTATGAATTAATAAATCAAATAGTATTAAACTGTAGTCTGTGTCTATTTTTCAGTATAAGTTGTTCGATTACCGGCACGAGTGTCATGCTCCGTTATCAGATGTGTCACGCTCTCACTGTAGGTAATCATTCATTATCAGCGCACTGTGAATACCGACCCTTATTATATTAATGATATTATCTAAAATTGTATACATTGCTCAGATTTTAAACTAATACTTGTACGCATTAACATGACACTAGGAGGTATATTTTACTAATGAAAACTGAATTTTGTTATTTTTCGAAAAGCTAATACGACTCCAAAGAAAGGCATTTTCCGATAATTATGATGCAGTGGAGGTGGGACCTTACATTGCCTTTGATGCACAGATTATCTTCATGGATATGATTTTAATAAAGATTATAAGAACTCATACAGTTATGGGCACAATGGGCATGCCTCCTTTATAGAGTTGTGGCATCACATTATAATGGTCTATTGAGATCGACTGTCCACGTGAAGCTATACACATCATCATGATCATAGCTTTATATACATAGATAGTGTATGTACGCTGAGATCCTAGAAAACTACACAAAGTTATTTATTCAAAAAATACTTAAAGTTGTTGCAGTACTGGTTTTCTGTACTTGCTCTAGTCACATTTAGTATAATAGTTTTCCTTATTGCTTTCTGCTTGTGTATATTTATTTTATAAGCCTATAGTGTATGCTTGTGTGTATTGATTAATAGTTGTAAAAAACTATCACATAAATCTGTAAAATGATTATAATTTAAGATAATTGCTCTGTAATGACACGTGTAATGTCATTTATATAGGAAATAAACAGATTTAATAAATATTATTTTAAGCAATCAATGAAGCTACAAAAAATGACTACCATTCGCTCTAAAACTCAAAAATTAATGTCGGCTCTAATAATTGATAAAAACTATCAACAAGCTTACTCGTTTATAAAAAATTTAACATGGAGTTTGAACCCAATAACTAAATCAAGTTTAATGTCACTAATTAATTCACTGAAATTAAAACTGCCGTTTCTCCCTACCATAATCGCTCTATGGTGCAGTGCTTATAAATAATTCAGTGTCGGTTCCGAATAATTATTTACGTAACGCCATAAAGCCAGTGTTGCAACGTTAAATAATAAATAGGTGAGTGCGATTAACGAACAATCAATGTCGCGTGCAAACTTCGCTTGGAAAATCAACTGCCACACGGACATTATTATTCGTAATTTCATTCGAGTTACAAGTACTTTATCGATAATATCTATTGGAAAATTTTCATGTTATCATCTAAATATTTTTACCTGGAGCAAAATCGTTTTATTTCGGGGGTTCCGCATTTCAAAATGAAAACACGGACTCATTTACTATGTTTTTATTATTTTTTTCAAATCATCATTATCACCTTATAAAGAAGTTAGGTACGATAAGATTGCGAATTTAGATAATTTCATAGATTGCTATCGAAATCGCTATACTTTTGAAAGGAATGAAGAGATTTTAAAATTAAACAATTAGTTATCTCTAAAATTACGTATACGTATTCATTATCTTTTCTTAAATAGTGATTTTTGACTTCTGGCTCTACTATTTCTAGAGTATTATGACCTACTAATCTGTCGTATTGTGCGTAGTCAGTAGAACTCGCTCTGTATATCAAGGTTTAGCTAATATTTAGGATCTATTTTGATCGATCTTTTTGTTTGAAAATGTAAATTCCCAAGGAGGCCACATATAATTTAATGAGTTAGAGAAGAAAAATTGTACGTATTTTTATAGATACGTAATTTGATTCACACAATAAGGTTTATTAAAAATTTATCAGGATCAGGCTATTTTCAGATTATGACCTAGTTTTTCAAAGCTATTAGTTTTACAATATTTTGAAAATCGTACTCGGAAAATTACTGTATTTGCCTTAGCATTAGTTATAATAACGCCTTGAAATCTCAAATGGCGAATAAGGGGGTAGGGGGTAATGTTGCCTATGTTAATTAATTTTAAATACTGTTCTATCTTCAAACGTCTTATTTTTTATTCTAGAAGCCGATTGTAGATATTTCATAGATAAAAAAAGTTTTTTACTCGTCCATAAGAATATAAAGTTTATCATTTAGCTACCGGTATTGAACCAATAAACCAATGGACTCACAGCTCACTACAGCCCTTTTCGTATTAAACAATATGTGTAGTGTAGTGAATCATTACAGAATAACACCCTGACATTGTAGATAACAAACGGTCATTACATTTTCGGTGAAGAATGGAGAAATTAATGTTCCGCGTACGATGCCACCAATAAAAATATCAAATGCCACTTCCCAAACGAGGTAAATAAAAAAAAGCTTGAAAATGCCACCTCGACATTTATAACTAAAGCTGGGTGGTAAAACACAGATAAACACGTTTTATTGAACATTATTTAGTGAAGCGCATATATGGAATTGTTAAAGACAATCAAACCGAATATTAAGTAGAAAAATAAATATTATCTCTATCCAATAATTGAAAGAAATTAAAAGCAATTTTTTAATTTTTTCAACTGCTTTTCAACTCAAATGATTATCTCTATCCAATAATTGAAAAATAATAAAATGATTATTTTTTTACTTTCTCAACTGCTTTTCAACTCAAATGTTTTGTTTTTTGGTGTCCTCTACTTTCAGTTATTTTTGTTTCATTTGAGGCCAGCACTAAAGTATTCTTTTAACATTATTTCTCGATCAGTCGCCATTTCAACATTCAAACTTTTATCAGTCATAACTGGCCACAATAGGCCTGTGTCCTACAAGGGAAAATACAGGTTTTTGTTATATCTTCGAAAAATATAAACCATTTTAACTTATAAATATTTAACAAAACAAATATTAAGTCACTGATTTGGAAAATATTACGCTTCGAAACCTTGAAAAAATAGAGAAAATTTACTACAAAAATTTGCTAAAATACATAAGGCATTAGATTAGACCTAAAAAATGTTACAACTTTCATTATAAAAGCTATAAACATAAACGCACATATAACAAAGATATTACAAAAATTGTCCAGAGGCCTATACGTTTTTCGCTACTGTGGCACCGTGTGACGTCACTGAGTGCCTTGAATTTGTAGGGAGCGTTTTCGGCCAACTAGCAGCAGTTCTACAAACACAGGACCGTATCTCCGAAACTATTAATCGCAGACATGCTGTTACATTGACATTATTGCTCAGATGTTAATGGACTTTTTATTTATGAAATTAAAAAAATAAACACACTAATACTTTTCAATTCATTTATCGCCTGTACTTAATGAAATCCGAAACGTCTGAAGAATTTATTAATTTATATTATAACTATACACTCGTTAAAACACTTTTTAAAGTACTATTTTTATTTAATTAGTAGTGCGCGTCCAATTTTCAGAAACAAAACATCTATTATTTATTACTTATTTATATATAATTTACTTTTTATATTCAAACATTCGGACTACTTTTGTATATTTTTTAACTTGAAGTGAAAATTAAACATAATATATAAACGAATGAATGTTTGATTACTTATAAATGGCCACCCAAATTTTCCCTGCCATTGTCTATTCAACCTTTAATACAATAATGTATCTAAAAGTCATTTTCTAACAAACAATCGTATCGTCATCAATAAAAGACATTTAATTTTTGTTGATAATATCGGTTGTACTAAATAATTTGATTATTACGAATCGAAACGACCACTCATGTATTATGTAGGATTCATGCGTCGTAAGTAATTGAGTTTTGTTTTAATAAAATATGGATTGATTCCTTTGATTATTGTTTATGGTATATTAATGGTTTTAGTTGTAAGGTAAGAAACAGAATTTAAGGTAAAGATCAGAGCCGGCCTATATGAACAATTTAGGCAAACTATTGAACTGCCTAGGGCGCTTGTATTAGGCGAACAGCATGGCATGGCGAAATGCATCCTTAGAAAATGAGTTTTGTTCTTTGAACACGAGTGCATGTCCACGGTAATCAAAAATATAAAAAAATCAGATCACCAGTAACTTATGAGTTTCTTTAATCGGTGTATTACGTTAGTCTTTTATTTCGTTGTGATTTTTTTTATGGGCGTCGTTCGAGTGTTTGTTTGTTCGTCGTTAGAGTGTCAAGTTTAATTGAGCCGGCACTGGTGAGGGTGTCGTCAAAATCAGAATGTTATAAAGTATTTTGTTTTAATCTAAAAGGCCGTCTATATGTTTTGACTTAAAGAATTTTTGGTAGTTCCTGCTACCTAAAGTGTAGTTAACTAAATTATATATTAAAATGTAC